TTTTTTTTTTTAGAGACAGAGTCTCAATTTATCACCCTCAGTAGAGTACTGTGAAATCACAGCTCACAGCAACCTCTAGCTCTTAGGCTTAGGCGATTCTTTTGTCTCAGTCTCCTGAGTAGCTGAGACTACAGGCGCCCACCACAATGCCCAGCTATTTTTTGTTACAGTTTGGCCAGGGCTAGTTTGAACCTGCCACCCTCTGTATATGGGGCCGGTGCCATACCCACTGAGCCACGGGCACTGCCCTCAACCATTCTTTCATATCAAATATGCAGGCAATTAAAGTAAAAATATAACTCCAATCATTCCTTACCAGTACCAAGATAAAGACTGGTAGCCCTAGATGATTGATCTTTATAAGTCTATTAAATAAACCAACCACAAACCAAAACTTATTTTAATTTTAAATATGAAAAATTGTATACTTGTTTTTACTTTATCCTGGGATTTGGGTAATAAGAAATCATGAAACCTCTATACATTTCTTAGTACTGATCAGATCTCCCATAGACACAGTGTACCAACCACATGCATCACCCAAGGACAACCAAGATAGGCAACTTTCCTGGAGGGCAAAAATCACAAGCACATGTAGCTTTATAATTCATCAAGATAAGCCTACAACTGCTAGGATGTGCTCACTATATTTTAAGAAGCAAAGGATAACAAATTCAAGGCGGGACACAGTGGCTCATATCTATAATCCTACCACTTTGTGAGCCCAAGGTAGGAGGATTGCTCGAGGTCAGGACTTCAAGGTCAGCCTGAACAAGAGTGAGACCTCATCTCTACTAAAAATAGAAAAAAAATAGCTGGGAATGGTGATGCACACCTATAGTCCCAGCCACTTGGGAGGCTAAGGCCAGGAATTTGAGGCTTGAGGCTGAAGTGAGCTATGATTACACAACTGCTCTCAACCCAGGGCAACAGAGCAAGACAGAAAAAAGAAAAAATTCTAAAAAGTTTAAATTTAACTATTTTGGTCTTCATTTGGAAAACTCCATTTCAACAGACCTGAGAAAAATAAAGATGTATATCATGGCTATTTTTAAAAAGTAAAGTTTTTCTTTTCTTTTTAGAGACAGAGTCTTGCTCTATCACCCAGGCTGAAATGCAGTGGCCTAATCATAGCTCAGTGTAATCTCAAACTCCTGGGCTCAAGTGATCCCCCAGCCTTAGCCTCCTGTGGAGCTGGTACTACAGGTATATACCACTGTACTTGTCTAATTAAAAAAAAAAAACTGTTTGGCTGGGCACAGTGGCTCATGCCTATAATCCTAGCACTCTGGGAGACTGAGGTGGGTGGATCACTTGAGCTCACGAGTTTAAGACTAGCCTGACCAGTCTCTACTAAACATGTAAAAAACTGAGACAAGAGGATCTCTTCAGCCCAAGAGTTTGAGGTTGCTGTGAACTATGAGGCCACAGCACTCTCAGAGTGGCAAAGTGAGACAATGTCTCAAAAATAAGTCTTTTTGCTACATTGCCCAGGCTGGTCTAGCACTCCTGTGCCTGGCCTAGCACTCCTGTGCCTGGCCTCCAGTGATCCCTCCGCCTTGGCCACCTAAAATACTGGGAGTGAGCCACTTCACCTGGCCTAAAATAACTGTAATTGTCCTAGAAAATGGAAACCAGTTCAGAGTATTTATGTTGAAAAAGTTTAAAAATCAAATATGCTTTTTTCTTTTTTTTTTTTTTTTTTTTGACAGAGTTTGGGCCTCCCAGAGTGCTAGAATTACAGGTGTGAGCCACTGCGCCTGGAGTGGCTTTTTATAGAATATTAACAACTAAGCATTTTCTGAAGACCATCTATTAGAAAACATAAAGTTGTGAGAGATTTCCTCCCCAAATCAACTGATTCAGTATTTTTTAATGCAAAGTAACAATTATTGTGGCCTAAAAAGAACCCCACATTTTCAAGTATATTTAAAATGGAAAGGGGGAGATTTTAAAGTGAGTTAAATTTTTAAAAATCTCATGATACCTTTAAGACCATGTTTCAGACAATGTTCCATAACAACAAAGAACTGCTGCAAGGGAGGATAGTCAGAATCCAAAGTGCGACCAAAACTTAGAGCAGATTCAATGAGTCCTTTGATACTCAGTTTAGCCATGTTTAACAAGTTTGCTCTCTCTACAGCTGTGGGGTCTTTTGCAGCTGAAAGCACAAGAAAAGAGTCGAACATCATTTGCAAGACATAACAATGAAAAATACACAAACTCTTCCCATATCCTATAAAAACAATAATATTTTGCTTTTCCTTGGTCAGCAAACTGTCACCCAACTAAACTATACCCTGAGTTAATTTCTCTTTATGTCTGTTTCACATATATTATAGAAAACCATCATCCTCATTTTAGCCAACATTTATTCATTACTGCCAAGATCCTACAAATCTGCCATTCTACTGAATTTATTTTGTTTTTGTGGTACCTCTTCATAGAGAATGAGTTTTTAAAATGATCTTTGAGGTCACAGACAACACGTTTAAGGGCCTCATGCAAAAGGGGATAGCAGGTGTAGTCTAAGGATTAATTCTAAGGTTAAAATGTCCAGAATAAACCAGCAAAAAACGGGGGGGGGGGGCGCCAATTAAAATTCTAAGATTTCAGTATCATCCACAAAAAATATAACAAGTAAAATGCACTGACAAAAGGATACAGAAGACCAAACGCTTTCATTCATTTTAACCATCTGTCTTGTTTCTTCATTCTGACTATAGTTCTGTATTGCGTGACTCCTTTCTTTTCCAAGAAATAATAGCAGGGACCAGTTTTCAATCAAGCTCCCTTTCCTTCCACAAAGCTGATGCCCACCATTTCCAATTTGAATATGAAGTTAATAATAGATGCATATTTTTAATGGCTTGATTTTTTAATTGTTACTTTAGAATCACAAAAACAACTACCTTCTTCCCCACAAATTTTATCCTCAGTTTACTTAGTAATTTAGATGTTTTCCCATCATCTCATCACTGCTGAGACGGGCAGAAATAGTCTCAACAAAACAGATGACAAATTCTGGTCTTAGTATAACAAAGCACTTAGTATAACATTTCATAATCTCTGACAAATTTACAAGTCCAAATAATCAAAATTTCCCTCCACTGAACAAAACTGCGGAGTCCCCGGACTCGGTATTCTAGTTGTGATCTCAGGTAGGTAGGCGTGAAGCCTGACGCTCAGTCTTAAGCAATTTAAAATGCAAACAGCCACAACTGCCAAGACCAAGCTGGCTGGTGGAAATGCCTACACACGACATCATTTCTTCAGATTTGCACCGTGGTCTGATTCCCATTTTGGAGGGAGGGGGCAAAAACCACTTGATGTTTCGTAATATGGGGCAATTCTCGATTTCCTTAACAGCATGCACAATCCATAACTGCGACGAGACAGCCACACAAAGGGCGGCTCTGCAGCTGCTGGGGCTGGGGGCACCAGCGGCTCCCAAGCACAGGGGCGTTTACACCGCGGCCCCGCCCCGGTTGGGCTTGCTGACTCTTCCCGCCCGGATGCGACCCCCTCAAACCCGGCCGAAAGTGCGCCGGGAGACGCGGCAAAGGACCAGTCCTCGCATCTTGCCGGAGCCTACAGCCCCTTCCCTGCCTATCTTTCCTCGAACGCCGTCCTCCAGCAAGGCTGCCTAAAGAACTCGGGGCTCCCCAAGGACCCCCGCGGAGCGCTCACCCAAGGTCTTGCGCATCATCACTCCCCCTCTCCCGCCCACGGCGTCGGGCACCCAGGACAAAACCTGACACACGTCTTCCCTCCGCCACCCCCAAAGTTGAAACGTCATCGCCCGTCCCGGATCGTTCCCGACCCTAGAACGACACTCCAGCTGGCCCGGTCCTCGCTCCCTGGAAGCGGTGGAACCTCAGACCCTCGGCCAGCAGGCCCCAGACCCGAGGCGACAGCGGGAGGAAACGAGGGGGGTGCGTTGCCATGACGACCCCCGGAGCCCCCCGAGTCCCAGGCTGTCCCCGCCCACCCCGCGTTCGGGCCCCTGTTCCGACTGGCGGCCTCAGCGCCCCAGCCCCACCCGCAGTCCACCTCCCACGGCTGCGGCCTTCGGCCGGGGTGGCAGGGCCGGGCGTCCGCTCTCGGCCGGCTCCCCTTACCCATGGTGGCGGCGGCGGCGGCGCGGTGTCGGGCTGGGGCTCCCTCCGCCGGGCCCGCAGATCCCCCGCCCCAGGCGCTCCGCGGCCGCCACCGCATCTGCAGCCAGGCCCACTGCGACCCACAGCGCCCCCGGCGGCAGGAGGACTCCCCGGCGGCCCCAGCGGGGAGCGGCGCCCGGGGTGAGGCGGGGGCTGCGGAGCCTTTGGCCGGCCAGGACGGAAACACGCCTTCCCGGAGCCTCTTCGCGTCCCGCGGAGCTCGGGAGAAGGAAAAGGAGCTGGAAGGAGACCTCGGTGTGAGGAGCCCGAGGGCTGGACCCTTAGTCGGACCACAGGTCTCGTGCTGGAGACTTCCCCAGAGCTCCAAGACTAGTCCAAGGGGCGGTGAGCCCTGCGCCAACGTTTCCTTCCTGCGGCTGGCTG